TTCCAGGGAACATGGTGCTTCCAGATGCTCAGAGAAGAAATGAGTTAGACACTCAAAACAGGTTGGGAATTGGAGCAGGGGGCAGACTAAGAAGAGCCTTTCACATTCAGCCCCACCCCTCCCGCCCCCACCTGCCTCCCTTTCCCAGTCTAGATTTTATCTTGAAGGCACAGAGGATTGGGGTAATCGATGAAAATGCTTATGGCCAGAAGTGAGGACTCTGAGACATCAGACACTCCTTATTAGGAGATGCAGTGCTTCATGATGACTGCTTCCTGTGGAGGTGAGCTCTGGGGGCAGGCGCTGATACTAGAGGCATTCATACAGAGCCTATATGAATATAGGTCAACAGGGATGTTGAGAAGTGGAGCCAAGCACTGGCCAGAGACTGGCCTAAATCCCCCTTAAAGTCCTGTCCACATCTGAGATTCCAACTTTCTAGAGCAAGCCCAGTAGCTGAGCTGATGCTATGGGCTGAGATTGGTGGCTGGGGAGCTGCCCTGGGCAGCAAATGGGTTAAGGCTCAAATAACTTTTATATATGAATTAATGTGTTGAGTTGGGAGCCAAAATCTGTTCCATTAATTTTTCCATCCATTCCAGGAGCAGTTAGGTACACACAGTAAAGTTTATTTTGGTGCATGGTATACTTCACTCCATTAAAAATAAATTAATCAGCAAATTCCTGCCTGGCTCAGCTCTGGTTTATGTAAATAGTGCCCAGCTGTAATGAGTTACAAGGTGTTATTATCTCACACACACAGTGAAGGCTTCACCCTAGAGCTCCACTCACAACAAAAGCATCTTAAATAAACCGAGAGACGGCGGTTTGATTTGTAATGTTTTCACAGAAGTGGGATATACCTCAGCCATATAGAATTTCTTTATATGACTCATTTTATAGCAAGTCAAGTGAAGGAAGTTTGATTGGGGGAGGGGTAAACAATATGACTCCCTGGCTCCCTTTTTCAATTTAAAGAAAATCCCCCAGAGAGGGCCAGTGCTCAGTGCTCGGAGGGAGGAGGGGACTGGTCTGTCAGGGATGCCCCGAAGCTGGGACCTAGGACAGAAGGGGACTAAGGCAGAAAGGAGGCTCCTCTCTTCTCCTGTCTCTCAGGCAAGGAGGGCCAAGAAAGGCAGACACTGATGGTACCTCTGGGAACATTATTTATGTTTTTAGGTTTTTGTTGTGAAATGGGTGAAGGGGGAGTTTATTCTTGAGGCCTCTTTCCAAATGACTAGGTTGACTCGGTGGTCTCCTGGGTCCGAGAGGCTGGGCCTGGCAGGTTGTGCTTGGGGTAGGGCAAATGACACATCTCCATAAACGGAGCACGCGCAGTAACTGCAAGAGCAGAGCCAGGCGGTCTGCCTCAGTTCCTGCCATCCCCACCTCTGACCCACTTCTCAAAGACCTCACAGGGAAGAGGAGCCGGGCACAGTCTGTTTCTGTTCATGGCCAACTCCGCCTCGGGGCTCAAAGCCAGGGGTCAGAAGTACAGTTACCCATCTTGACCCAGCAGCCTTACAAAGTGCCCCTCGGCGACAGGGGGCCTTTGGTGGGGTACCCCCCTTTCTGACCTACTCCCATCTTTTCCCTGGCCTTTGGGAACAGCTGTCAGTGAGTCACACAGAGTTGCTGGAGGGGGACTTGGGGAGTGTGTGCCGGAAAGTTCTTGCTTAATGCTTCTCTATGGGAAAGGGCACCTCAGAAGGGCTAGCTAGGGCTTCTCTGAGCACCGCATCCCACGAGAATGGGCTGTTGGGCACACTAAGAAGAAAATCAGCACAAGTGGGGTCAAGGAGCTGGAGATGCTGTTCAAAGGTCAGTTTGGCTACTTTCTGCTGGGTCCTGGGCAAAACAGGCATCTCTTCCCTCCGAAGTTCCTCAAGCCAGTTGGCTCACTGTTTGGAGGGTCCAGCCATCAAAGACCCTCATCGTTGTAAGTTGGAGCATGGGCCTTCAGGACGCTCTGAGGATTCTTCTCCACCAGAGGGCGCCAGCTCACCTCCCCTGTCAGAAGCAGATCCTCGCCATTCATGGAGTCCAGGTACTGAATCTGCACAGGGGAAAACGGGGCAGAGTGCAGGCATAAGAACCAGACAGACATGAGGTTGGCATGAAGAGATGTGTGGTGCAGTTTAAATCAAGTGCCCCATTGCCCTACAGTCCGGCTTGTGCTCGCAGAGTATGTGTCCCCTCCCCTTGCACCCCTGCCCCGCATGAACCAACTATGTAGTCATGCTTACTTAAGCCAGTAATAAAAAAAATTGTTCTCTCCTCAGGGTGACAAGGTTATAGTTCATGGTTAAACAAATTACAAGTCTTGAAAGAGGATGAGAAGATGACCCTTTCCAAAAGAGTGTTCTCAGGACATTATGCAGTTTTGCTCCCCAAAGTCCCTAAGTTGGCATTGTGACAGTTCACTAGGGACTAGTGTGTAACCCCTTGGCCTCCTATATAAAATCTCTCCTTTTGGTATTTTATCAAGGGCACCCCAGTAACAGCTGTAACAAATGCCCATAAAATTCTGATCACAGGCAGACATGAGGGAGTCTCAGAAAGTAGTCACCCCCAGGAAAAGAAGGGAAAGGGGCTTGGACCAGCACTCAGGCTAGCCAGGTGCTGCTCAATGAGGTTCCTCCATGAAGGGGCTTCTGAGTAATCACTGGGCGGACAGCTGGGAAAGCTTCAGGCCACTCCCCTCAAGACTCCAGATGGACAAACAGGCAGGCAGACACATCGACTCCAAGGACCTCAATTCCCCCCAATACACCCTCCCTTAAAAGTGTCTGTAGTCCCAGAAGTTGAGACTTGCAACTTACACAAGTCATCCTGACCATGCTCATCCAAAGCTGCTGGGGGAGGCAGAGTCCCAATTCTACCCCTTACTGGCAGGGTGACCCATGAAGCCACTTCCCCTCCCTGGGACTCCAGTCTCCTGGCAGAGAGGGGAGAGCTCTGTGTACCGAGCAGGACTCGTGGAAAGTTTCAATGACATAACCTCTGTACAATGCTGGTCACCATTCTCCACTGTCCTCTGACAGGCCCTGATACATGGTGAGTGGGCCCAGCCGCACCTTCTAGGATGGCCGGGAGCATCTGACACCATGCATAGCTCTGGTGTTAGGAGGGTCATCTCCTTTACCAAGGATTCTCCTTCCCTTGGGAATTGCAGAGACCAAGCAGAATACCCCTGCTCCTCACACTGACAGCTGCTCTTATAGCTGAGACAGGGTCTGGCCCCTCTGGACTTTCTCACCACGTGCCTCCAGCCTGTCTGGCCTAGAGATGCGGGCTGCCAATGCCACTGCTCAGAGTTCTGGTTGCAGGGCCACACCAGTGCCAGGCCAGATGTTCTCAGACCTACCCAAGGAACATAGGTAGAGGGGCCATCTGTGATGGGAGAAAATCAGAGCAGCTACAGGAGAGATGTGGGCAGGCAGTACTTCAAGAGGCAGTTGAGCTAGTGACTGGCTGAGTCTCAGGAGAAAAAGGCAGTTGCTAGAATTCCCCAGCGTGCCTCACAGTAAGCAGAGCAGCAGAGTGAGAAATGCTTTTAAGTGAACAGGCAAAATCTGCCATGAGACCGAAACAGACCAGGAATCACTAGACTCAAAAAGATGGGGCCCCATTTGTGTTGCTGTTGTTGGCATTTGGAGCGAGTGAGGTGGGGGAGGAGGCTAAAAGCTTCACCTTGGGCCTTGAACTCTCTCCCCCCTCCCAAGAAGGCATTCACTCCTACTGCTTCATCATCAGACTGCTGACTCAACCCTCAACCACCAAGCTCACATATATAGATACATGTCCTGCTCTCTAATCCAGTGCAAGGAGCTCTACTCCTAAAACGCACACCCTCCTCTTTGTGTCTCCAATGCCACCACTTTGTCCACCTCCTAGGTTAACACTGCAATGTAACCTCTGATGGTCTTGGGCCAGCTACCATTCCAAGTATCATCAGAGTAGAGGCCGAGAACCTTCTAGTAAGTCCAGCGTCCCCATCTTTCTTTCTTGCCCCACTAGACTAGAATTAGTTTTCTTTTCTCCAGCCTTCCACAGTACTTTGTTACAGCCTATATCACATCACATACTGACCTATTCCAGCGTTAGCCATGTGCCTAACTGGCTTCCTGACCAAACTATGAACTGGGCAGGGGCAGGGGCTGGGTCTAATTAATCTCTGCTTTCCCAACAAGTGTATGGGAGAGAAAGTGCTCAGGGATTTGCTGAAAGAACTGCGTCCCCATCAAAACTCCTTCCTTTGTTAGGAAACTCATTTCTGTATTCCCACAGCCCAAAGTGGGTTTCTGATAGGGCACTGGCTGTGGTAGTCCTTCATTTAGGGTCCTCAGAGGTCCCAGCTGTGCCTTTGGGGCTCCTGTACAAGCCCACCAGATGGAAAAATGGAATGGTCTCTCAGTAAACCTAGCATTCGCTTTGCCAACCACTTCCCGTGTCTGAGTCTGAATCTTAGATCTTCTGTGAAGCAGGAACCTCAGGCTAAAGTGCTTCTGGCAGATTTGAAGAATGTCCCCCCAAAAGTCCTGGCTGCAGGGGTTCTCTACATTCTGGGTCTGAAAAGGCACATTAGGTGGCTTTTCCAAGCATAGGACACACTGGTCCTGATGACCCCATCTTCTTTCTCCTCAAGAGCTAGGGCCTGGCACCCACCCCCGCTTCCAGGCTGTTGGAGGCTTGAAGGTCATGGACACAGGTGAATAAGAGAATAGCTGTGAGGTGAGGTGCCTTCAGCCCCAGGAGCCAGGACTGTGAAGGATAGGTGTGACTCATGGGATGGCCTGCGCTCCTGAGCCACCCAGAGCAGCTGGGGCCTCTAGTGGCTACATGAATCACCCAGCTTGGGTGCTCGGCCAGCTGTGCTGGTTGACTCACTGGGAGACTCTGGAAAAACTTCTATGGCCCTCCTCTCTACTACTCTGCTCACTCTTCTCTAAAGTCTGGGTTTCCCATCCATACCGGATCTGGGGGCAAGACAGTCAAGCAGTTAATTCTCCATGGGCTTGAGAGAAAACGGCATTTAAACAGTCCTCACCTTGGGGCTTTCTACTCTCTAACAGGAAGCCCCAGGGAACTAGGTGTGAGGTATTGAAGTAGGGGCATCCTGGTTGATTATGACTAGTTACCAGTGGGAAGTCTTTTTTTTTTTTTTTTTTTTAAGGTTTGAACAGAGAGTAAGTTTACTGAAGGGGATACTTTGGAAAAGAACTCCAAAGGGCCCTTAGATAGTCTAAATCTAAAAGGCCTGGGAGTAGTCTTAAGGGATGGCTGTGAAACGTGGCTCAAGCCTAGTCAGGCCAGAAGTCAGAACGTCTGACCCTTGGAGCTCACAGTGGGTACAGAAGGGGCGACAGTGTCTGGTAGCCATCACACCCCATGCTTGTTTGCAATGCACAGGAATATGTGTGCAGTGTCTGGCACAGCGCCGGGTTCGCCGTGCCTCTCCAGCTTCCATTCCCAAACTCCTCTGGCTGAGCTCACAGCAGGTGCTCTGCATCAGGCTCTGCTGCTGCTAGGATGGATCACGATTCCTTCTGAGTGGCTCTGGTAACTCAGCTTCGGCCTCCCAGGAGCCTCTGAAAGGCCAGGCAGAGACAGAGAGATGAACTGGTTTCCATGCAACTCTGGAGGGGAGAGACGGGCTGCTCACCTGTTTCCTCACATATTCCACCAGCAGTGCAAGATGCCGGGGGTCTTCACATTTCTGATTGAAGAAGGTTCTCCACAGGGCAGCGGCCAGTCCGTGATCATCGGAGAGGATCCCCTGGAATACAGAGTACAACGTGTTGAGATAGGGCTTATTGGGCCAACCTGGCTGATAAACACAAGTAGGGTTAATTGAAGGGCGGAGGGATAAATGGCTCCATGAGCCTCGCCTTTCTAGTTCTCTGGTTTCGTGCTTTGTGATGGTTGGACCAGGGTGCAGCTGCCTTTGCCAGTTCCCTGCTTCAGCTGGCAAGGCTCACTTCCTACAAGACATCCCCGAGAAGCCACATGGACCTAGCCCGATGCAGCCCTGGGTGCTGGAGCAGCTGTGTGGAGACTCCTGCCAGCGCTGAGATGCTTACATGCTCACTGATTCAGCTTTTCTCCTGCAGTTGGCATCATTGTGTGTGTTTTGTGAGCTGGAGGAAGGCTTTGTGGATTGGTGTTGGACATATGAGTTAATGTTGGGCTTGTGGGCTTGGGCAGCACTGGGTTGGGATGTCTTCTTGATGCGCACTTACCCTTTATCTAAAACTCACTTATACATGGGTTTCTGTGGATTTGTTTACCTAAAGTACCCGGACTAATACAAAAAACGTGTCTTCGCAGGAACCCTGCAGAGCCATGGTGCTAAAGCTGGGGGTATTATAAACAGGCTAGCACAGCACAGGATCAGCTCACAATCTTACGGAGAGTGGGGTCAGAAATGGGGTCACTCAATAAGAGCTGGAAGGGGTCTAAAATGGCTATCTACTGCAATCCTTTCATTTTCTACAGAGGAAGATCAGGAGGGCCCCCAGAGAGTGACTTGCTGAGGTTAATGCATGGCTGGGGCTCAAGTCTGGTCAACTTTCCCTAGCCCAGGGCTCTCTCTGTGCTACCGTACACCACACCTGGTCCAGGCAATGTGGAAGTGGCCAAGAAGAGAAATAGCAGCAGCAGTGGTTCCGCGGCTGTCAACAAAGCATAGGCTGGGGGGTATTTTTGTGTGTGCTTGTTTTTCTCCTAGTAATTGACATGGGCATGGACTGAGCCTTCTTTCCTGGTCCAAGGGCACACACCTGCAAGGCAGCTGGCTTCTTTGGAGAAGAGAGCCAGATAGTTTGGCCTCGCTGTCATCCAAATCAGGACTAGCCATGGCCAGGCCAGCCCGGCCCAGCCCCTCTCCCTTTTCCTCCTTCCCCTTAAACCGAGGGTCAGGCCATTCAACAAGACTGCCATGGGCCACAGAGGACAATGCCCAGAGACTCTATATGTGTAATTCTGTCTCTCCATGAACACAGGAGACCTCTATTGGAAAGTCCAATCATTAAGCAGAAGCTAACTAACGCCAAAGGAGCCCTGGTGGCATAGTCGGTTATCCAGTCGGCTGTTAACCCCAAGGTCAGTAGTTTGAACCCACCAGCCACTCTGGGAGAAAGCTAAGGCTTTCTTCTCCCCAAAAAGTTAGTCTTGAAATCCATAGGGGCATTTCCACTCTGTCCTATGGGGTTGCCATGAGTCAGAATCAACTTAATGGTAGTAAGTTTGAGAGTTTGAACTAAAGGTTGGGGCCACATGCTAGAGCTATTTTCTAATCAGCCCTTTAGTGGAGCAAGGGCAATGGTCTTCTTTCTTGAGGCGAGGGTGAAGGAAGGAAAAGGCCCTGAGAAGTTCTCTGTCTGGGTGGCCAAGCTAGTGTACAGAAGCAGAGAAGGGCTGAATTGCTTCTCGGCCTTTTGGCTAAGATCAAGTGCAGAAAAAGGGTTGACTCAGAGTTGAAAGTCACAAGTCCTGGTTCTGCCACTTCTAAGCATGGTAGCAGTGGGCGATTTCACCACACTCAAATCTCAACTTTCTCACCTACTAAAAGAGATGAAGATATGGGTCCTACTCACAACATTCCTGAATTTGAAAAAAGACAATAACGTAAGGGCATTTTGCTAGGCATGAATATATTTGACGATAAAGATTAACTCTTGCAGGAAATTGTGGATGTAATTGGAAGGGAAGGGATAGTCAGACGCCCCACCCCCACCCCCCAAGTTCAAATCCCAGCTGCTTTGTCATTTAATGGCTATGTGAACTCTGAAAAGCCATTAACCTTCCCTTCACCTCAGTTTATATTCCAGAGTGCTGTTGTGAGAATTCAGAGATAATGGCTATAAAAGGGCTCTGTAAACAGTTAAGTCATTACAGAGACCTCGGATCACTTATGTGATGTCGCACGGTGGGTTGGCTCCAGGCCAGCTGCCAGGAAGGGTCCCATTCAGTGTGGGGTGCTGACGGTTTGGTGGAAAAACATTCCACCTGTTCCAAATGCCACTGATAAACACCCCTATGGTTCCACAGCTTCAGAGACTGTCCTGGCGCAAAGGCTGAGTCAGATAAAGCAGCTTCTTCCGGCAGATGGGGACAGGCGCCAAGGACAAGCTCAGGCACATCACCACTCCAAGCTATTTGCTAACACAACAGCCTGCCTGGGTCTGAAGAGCCCTGAGCACATGCTGGCGTGTTGTTGCTGGCAGCAACCCACATGTGCTATGTGGGAAGGGAGGGGAAGTGGGTGACACAGGAAGTGGGGAGAATGAGGGCAGGGGCTGGGGCATGCTGCACATGGCAGCTCCGGGTGGGTGAGATGGCTGGGAAGGGGCCAGTCCAACACCCCAAACTGCTGCACTCTCAGAAGAAGATGGGACTCAGATGAACCGTGGTAACAGTCTTACTGCTGCAGCTGGTCAGCTCCTTGACAAACCTGGCTCATAATGATTTTGTTCATCAGACATTATTATCTCCACTTAAAAGATAAGTAAACTGAAGCATCAAGGTTATCTAGCTAATTAGCAACAGAGCTAGGACCAGAATGCACTAGGAAGGTCAGAGAAAGGTCTCTATTTAGTCAGAACGCAGTGTCGGCACTGAGTGGGAGTGTGCTAAGACGACTGAGCATGTAAATGAACCCAACCGGAGTCTTCTGACCACCGTAATGCTACTGAGGCAGTGAAGACCAGTGAGCGCCCCCTGCAACTGTGGTGGGAGGAAAGAAAAAAGCCAAATACGAGGGTTACATAGCAAACTCTGCAAGCTAGTAGAGGGTCTGCTTGCGAACCATCACTACGCAAAGAAAGAATCCTTCAGGACATTAAGACTTGCGGTCTAGAATAGCTAGAGGAAGCTACCGGGAGTTTCCTGGCCCGGGAGAACTCTGGCTAGGGTTAGGAGTAGCAGGGTCTGCTGTGAGCACTCAATAAACACCTGTTACATAGGTGGGTGTGCAGATGGATCTTGAAATTCAGAGTAAAAAAACAAGAGTTCTAGAGAGGTCAGGGGAAGCTTTGTGGAGAAGTGGGTATTTAGGATGAGGAGGGCTTAAAGAGCTATAGAATATTTTAGATGAGAATAAAATTATTTCAAGGAGGTTTACAAGAAGACTAGGCCCTAAGGTACAAAACTGACGAGACTCAGCTACTACTCTCCACACTGCGTTGCCCAATAGAGCCTCAACAGGCACAGCCTTTCTGTGGGTGGCGAGGCTAAGGGCCAGCGCCACTTGGACCGAAGGCTTTCTGAGACAGGGCAGTGGGAGAGAAGCATGGGTGGGGCATGCCACAATGGGAAAGAGAACAGTCTACAGAGAGTCTGAAAGGCCACGAGGACTCTGGATCTGATGTAGCTGCAAACATGAAAGTTCCAAAATGGCCAGGATGGAGGCACCATCCAAGCCAGCTTCTACAGAAAGGTTGCTATGGAAAAATGCTGTCCAACAGAAGGCTCTGTGATGATGAAATTGTTCTACATTTGTACGGTCTGACACAGTCACCCTTAGCCACACAGGATGACTGAATGCCTGGAATGTAGCTAGTATCTCTGAGGAACAGAATTTTCAGTTTTCACAATAACGTTTAGATCTGTCACATGTGGCTCTTTATTGAAGAGCACAACGCCAGTCTTATCACTTAGAGTGTGGTCTGCGGACAGGCTGCACCCAAAGGACCAAAGCTTTTCAGTAACAGCAGGATTGTGCAGAGTCAGAATCCGCATGGTAAGGGATCTCCAGGTGAAACCCATGCACATTAAAAGAGGATGGCCTAGAATTACACATTAAAATCTCCTGGGAGAACTTGTCCAACTGCAAATGCCCACCTACACCAATTAATCACAACATTTGAGAAAGACCAAGTTATTAACAGATTTCCTAAAGCTTCTGCTCTTGAGAGTCACCTGGCGTACTTGTGAAAAGACCAGGCCCTGCTTCTACTGAACCGGCATTTTCAGCGAGGCGTTCCAGAGTTAGGCTCAAAGACATCCCTGGTAATGCTTATGGGCAGGTATGTTTGGGTGAAATGCTTGGGCTTAGGGGACTGGGATGAGGTACAAAGAAAACAGTGAAAATCCTTATTAACACTGATGAAAAGTCTACCAAGCTCCCCTGCAGTAAAAACCCAACTAAAGCTGAGAGGAAAAATGCTTCTTCAATCTTAACCCTCGGAAGACAGACTGCATCCAATCTAACAAGTGATGTGTACATTTAAGCAGCGTTTCTTAACACTCCCCTACCCCACAAAAAAAGAATGTTAAATTCATGGTGTACAGGGTAGTGTGCTATCTAAATTGATCTTTTATGATTGGGGATATCTAGTATATTGGGAATTAGGAGACCCCCCAACTTCTACTAGTCCTGTGTCCCTGGGCAAGTCATTTTTTAAGGAGAGTCTTTGGAGTTTTGGAGTGGGGCAAGTTCATTTCTTGGCTTTATCTTCAGACTGATCATTTCCTCTAGTCTGAACTCCAGCTCCTTGCTTTCATTCCTTTATGCTATTCTGCCCTTCCTCGTTCATCACCGATCACACATCAATACAAACACAACAGGCCCAGCCACCACACAGAGGGAAGCCTTAGCCTTGTGAGGGTGGCAGCAATACTGAGGCAGGTCAAGATGGAAGGGGCCTCCCAGGAGAGGGTGCTGGCACTCAATCTGGAGGTCACCACAAGAGGGCATAAAGGGACATGGCTTGTTCAAAAGGTAAGGAATAATGAGTCTCAGTGGAGTTTATTACAGTCTTTTAACTTTTCTGTGTTTGGAATTGTTTATAATGAAAGTTAAGAGAAAATACAGATGAGCTAGATCTAAATGTTCTGATGTGAAAGGCTGTCCAAGATAAAGTGTTAGGTTAAAAAAAGCAAGCTGCACAACATTGTGCATAGAGTAGCTACCATTTACACAAAGAAAATCCATACATTCATCCTGATGTACAAGTGCTTGTCAATGCACAGATGACATCTGGAAGGACCCCGATAAACCATCAGTTTTCTTCTTGGGCAGAAGTGGGGAGTGGGGTCTGTTTTCTGCTTCAACCACTTATGTACATTTTGTGTGTTCTTTTATAATTAAAGCAACCTCCAAAAGTGTCAAGCTTTGGCAGAATGCGCTGGGTGCCCCTGGGGCTGGCACAGGGACTGGTTTGCCCTTGCCCTGCTCCCCCCCTCACCCCTCCATCCAGCACCTGCTCTCGTGATTTGACCATATTGTCTAAGCACTGACTGGGCAAACTGCTGCACATTCATGCCAGTTGTGCAGCCAGCGAAGATAAGAAATAAACATGAAGCCATGATGGCAGGCAGTGACGATGGCGCCTGAAGCATCCCTTGGAGGTGCTCATCATCTGAAACTTTTGTAGGGGAAGGCCAATGATCTTACCTCATCATATCCCAAGATTGCAGCATAAAAACTATTTGTCATGAGGACCATGTTCTTCTTCAGGATATAGGGATTAACCTACCGAAACAAGATAGCAAAAACAAAAGTATGAGCCAAAGGACACAACTAGAAGGCGATTTACAGAACCAAGAGTTCAGAGAAGGACCTAACAAGTCAAATTGCCAGGACATGTCCGATTCTGTTTTTTGTCAAGATTCATTTTGTCAATTTGCCGGCTTATTTTAGGTTAGATCCCAAACTTCACAGTCACCGGGTTCAAACAACTGAGTCTCAACAAGGTGTCCTCCACCACTCAGCAGGATCTAACCCAGAGCAGGAGTTCCAATCGGCCAACTGATGACAAGGGCCCGAGTGCCACACATAGCATCTTCAATCCAATGACAACAGGGTGTTTGGGAAGGCTTGCTCTGAAACTTCATAGACACTGACAAATTTCTGTTGCCCCAACTTTCAGAATGGCAGGAGTAGAGTTCTTGATTGACAAGGTTCTTCTATCTGGATTAAAACTCTAGTGACCTGTTCGCTGCCTCCCCTTCACCTTTAGCTGAGGGATGCCAAGCTGTCATTGCTAGGGATGCCTTTCCGATATCATCACCCAGGCTGGATTAGATCATGAAATGGGCCCTTCCTGGAAGAGGGTGGAAGCTCCACTGGTGCAGACACACGATCTGCAGGCAACAGGTGAGGAACAGCTTCCTAAACTACTAGCCTCAGCTCCCCAGGACAGTCGGGCCAGGCCCAGCAGCCAAGAGAAAGGGATTTTGCCCGTGGACCCTTGCTGGCATTTGAGTCCCTCAATGAAGCTTTCGCTGCTTTAGCTTGCAGGTTCCCTGTGTCTCTGCTTGCCAGAAAGTCCTATATGGAGTCCTCTGCCCATGAGCCAGACACCAAACGAGAAAATCCTCCTAGACGATGTTGGACTGTTTGCTTACTAAACTCTTCTCCGCTCCACAATACTTTCCTTTCTAAAAAAGCCAGGCATACAGAACCACCACAAGGAGAAGGTTCTTTTTATATCAGTTACTCATATTTTCCCATTTATTTAAGCTATTAAAATTCATGCAGATATTTTATAAGCCATCAGGATTTGGTGACTGGTATTACTGAATGTTTAATAATAAACTAAACCGAAGAAATCAGAGGGTTAAATGATGACTGCAATTCCTGTAATGACTTAATTAAATTTTTATTGAGTACATAAACTATGACGTCATTTCTAGCCAACCCTGGGTCTGCTTTCCCGGCTGGTCACAAGGTGGGAGCACTCAATAGGAGGCTAGGCGAAATGAGCAGCAGGTCTCAGCTGAAATGGGAGGGGAGCAAGGCTCATGTAACACACTCAATAAATTATCCGTTCATTTTTAAACAAAGTCCATGAGTTATAATATATTTGCCATGCACTTTTTATGACATAATAAAAATGTTACCTTAAGGATTACTTAACACATACTACAAATGTTATAGCAGAGGCAAGCACAAGGGGCAACGAAAACAAACATGAGCAGGCCAGGGCCGGGTCTTGGAGTTTGTGTCCCAAGGGAAACAGCATACTATATGAAAAACCAAACCAAACCAGGGACCTGAGAGGGCAGAGCAGGACTGCTCCGCAGGGACTTCAAGGCTGTGAGTCTCCACAGAAGCAGGCTACCCTGTCTTTCTCCTGTGGAGTGGCCGGCCAGTTTGCAACCAAGACTTTAAGCACCCCATCACCAGGGTGCCTTCACACATTACAAAGAGAATACAAAACAAAGGGTTGGGGTGTTATCAACCCAAGAGCACAGGGGTGGGAATCAACAGATTAATGAATGAGAAACTCAGCAGGGAACCCAAGTAAAGCATTAATGAATCTTGCAAGGCACATTCTTCTTCAACATAGTATGTTCTAAGGAGTGAGGCCAGTTCATTGTCCTCTTTCCCTTTTTTGTTCTTGTTGCTCTTACAGACTTTTATGGGACTGAGAACTAGAGGAACCAGGAAATGTGGATATGGGGCTGCCCCAGGATCAAGTTTAAATAACTGGACAAGGCCCTTTGTGATCTGTTCTTGGTCATCTTTCCTCCCCCTCCCCAACTCCCCCCACTTTTCTCTCACCCTCCTGGCAGAGCAAGCTGGATGCAATTTCCACAAGTGTGCCTTGCTCTTTTGAATCTCTAAGCCACTTCACTACAGGGAGCCCTTCTCCTTTCTCTACCCGCGGGGAAGCTAAATGACATCCTCTACATGGCTCCCCTTGCCCCAGTCTGTATATGCCACAAAAGCAATTCAAGAAACGTCCCTAAATCCAGTATTTGTCAGGTACCAAAAGCTGTGTTAAGGCATCAGCCCATTTAAACCTTCCCTAAGACTTAGGCAGATATTATTACTATTATCACCACTTTATAGAAGAGGAAATTAATGTCTGAGAAGATCATATGGATGGGAAAGTAGGGTAAGATTAGAATACGCAGTGCAGCTCCAATACTTCCATTCCTAGGCTGACATCGATAATAACGTGGCGGTCCCTTCCTGTGCCCTACAACTCAATGACCGTAGAGGCAGCTCTAAGAATGTTGCTGGGTCTTGGGTAAACACACCTCAGAGATTTCCCATCCCAATGATAGCTAGAATGGGTCACCAGGACGGTCATGAATGGTTAGTAATGAAAACATCAGATGACCCTCCTGTAGCTAAGCCTCGCTGCGGGAAAAGCGGGGTGGTGTAATTATGAGGAGGGAGAGGAGAACCGACGAAAGCTGGTGTGGATGAAGAACTAATCAGCATGAAAGTTAAGAATAAGCATTTGGGATACTCTCTTGAGGCAAGGTTGCTGCCAGTAGCTTAGAATTAATTGGCATGAATGAATGGCAAAGGGTGGCTAGAGCTGCTGACTGGAGAATGAGAAACACACCATATTCACCAGAAGGCAGCTAGTCCTGGGAATATCAAACTGTGGCATCACTCTAATTCCCTCTCTATTCCTTCAATCTGCCACACAGACATCAAAGGAATAGAACAAGACAGTGCAAAGAATTGCACTGCAGGTAGTGCTAATGTCAGAACCATACGGTACAGTCATGGTGCAACCCGCAGGCAAGTGCACAGAGAACACCGGCCAGTCTGTCTAATGCTAACGTTAAGACATTAGCCCACGGTGGGATACTTACGTGAGATACTGACAGAGAGTGAGAGGAGATGGAAAGGCAGGGTAAAGATAAGTGTGTGCATATAACTCACTGACTGTATTATAGCTAAGAATCTCCTGAGGGTCTTTTAGCAATGACCACAAAATACAAACAAATAAAACTCTAACTATGTATGTGTGTGTTAGGCAAGGCCAGGGAAAATTGTGTTCATGCCAAGAAAGAAAAGGAAAAATAATAAAACATGAAAAGATGGGCAATTTAAATTTTTTCCACCTTTTTTAGTAGACAAAGTGACTGAGGAAAGCATGTCCCAGTTGTGATGACCTAGATTAGGATGAGATCATCCTCAAATCTCATTATACCAAATTATTTTAAAATGGCATCAGGTAAGGTTGCTATAAATAATAAATTAAATTCTTATTATTTATTTTGGAAATTCCAGTTTTGTGTGGAAATATGGAATTAAAAGATAGTGAAATTTCCCCACAAATCTTGTGAAGACCCCTTGTACAAAAGGAGACAAAGATAGAAACATGTTAAGTGAGTTACCCAAGAAAATTACGAGCTGACTCTTAAGTGGTAATGCCAGGACTTTAACCAGGTGGCCAGTCCCTAAATCAAGTGTCCTTTCTATACTACTTGATTCTGCTTCCAATTAAGTCATATGAGAAGTGGAGAATCACATCTGCACAATGCTCACATAGACAGTTTCTATATTTGGAAAATAGAAATGACTCTAAAATGGTTAGAAACAATATGAAAACAAGATGAGATTCAACAAACAGCTTGTACAGCTGCATGCCTAGGTCGACAGATGGATATATGGAATGAATGAATGCGTGCGTGAGTGAATAATGAATGAACGAACAAATAGGATGAAGGAAGAGTTTAACTAAAAAAATCTCACTGCCACCGAGTCAATACTGACTCACTGCAGCCTTGTGAGGAGGGGTCGACCTGCCCCTGTAAGTTTCTGAGACTATAAATGTTTTCGAGAGTAGCAGCTGATGGTTTCAAATTTCGGACCTTATAGCGCAAAACCACTACATCACCAGGACTCCCATAGGGTTGACTAGGTAGTAGCAATAAAGCCCCAGGGTAAATCTCTGATCGTGAGCTGAAGATTCAAAAGTGTGAAAAGGTAATAATTAATGTATGACAAGAAGAGCAATATACAAAGGCAGAAAAGCTTCCTTTCTTCTATCATTGTCAAGTCCAGAGTTCTGGTTTCAACAATCACACTTAAGAATGGATTTGGAGAAAAAAAAGAAAGTTCAGTGAAGGTCAGATTCTACTACGTGCTCACAACAGAATGGCATGGAGTCACAGGCCAGGACATTCCAGAGAACATGACCAAGAGAAATGGCCAGAGGCTGTCTCTTGGGTTGATCTAGTGGCTCCCTTCATCAGCCTCAAGGGGCTATGTGCTCTGATATTGTCCAAGGTAGACTTGGCTTTCTTATTTATTCTCCTGTCTCTGTACCCTTTCCTTAGGGGACCTGCTTTCCCCCAACCCCATGAGTTGGCAGACCCCTCACCAGAAAGTGGCAAACAGACCAACCTAGACCAATGGGTCTCTCAGTTCTGAAAGCAGAGCCATCTGAAGATAAGAAGCTGCTAAAGCAGAACCACCCGAAAGAGACTGTATTCAGGTTCCTGTTACTATGAAGGGCCATCAAAAAGTTCACAGCAAAATATGGAATTAAAAGACAACCGAATTAATTGTTCATGAACTTTTTGAAGCCCTCTTATAAGACCCTTGTGCTTCTATCTTTTCTTCCTAGTGGCTGTTGTTAAACTCTCCTTTTCATTTTGTGAGCCTTAGGAACCCTCCAATCAATTTCATGGTTTGTTTAAATTAGCTAGAGACTTAGCTTCCAGACTAAGATGGACGAGGTAGAAGGGCCTGGTGGACTACTTCCAAAAATCTCTGTG